GAACATGTTGCACTTGCTGCGAAGACTCTTCAGATTTCAGATGTCCAGAGGCACCTCGCTAGCGGCTCATGTGAACAACTACACTAAGTTGTTGTCAGACTTGGCGAATGTTGATGAGAAGATATCGGATGAGTACAAGGCGATTATTTTGTTGGGCTCCTTACCGGATGAGGAGTATGATACCTTCATGCTCACTTTGTTGAACGGGAGATCTTCTATCAGCTATAGTGAAGTGACTAACGCATTGACCAATTATGATTTGAGGAGGAAGGATAAGGAGACTTCCCGTGCTAGCACTTCAGGCGATGTCTTGTCGACGAGAGGTAGAAGCCCATATCCGAAAGGTGGTAATAGAGGGAGGTCAAAGTCAAGAAGCCGCCACCAATTAGCAAAGAACTAATGTGCGTTCTGTAACAAGTAGGGACATTGGAAGAGAGACTGCCCGAAGCTCAAGGAGAAAGAGAATGGTAAGAAAAAGGGCCCAAAGACCAATGAAGTGAATATTGCGAAAGGCGATGATTCCGATGATTCGTGCTTTTCTCTACTGATTACTCTGGGGGTGAACCATGTGGATGCATCAGATTGGATGTTTGATTCAGGCGCTACTTATCATGTGACCCCTAGGCGAGACTGGTTTGCATCTTTTGAGAAAGTCGACCGGGGTGTTATTGTCATAGGAAATGATCAATCCTATGGCATTTGTAGGATAGGTACCGTGCGGATTAGGATGCATGATGGAGTAGTCCGTGAGTTGAAGGAGGTGAGATTTGTTCCTCAACTGAAAAAAAATCTTATCTCAGTTGGAGCTTTGGAGGCGAAGGGATTCAAGGTGACTTTCGAAAACGCTGTAGTGAAGGTTACTAAGGGATCATTAGTGGTGATGAAGGGAGCCCGTAATCAGAATTTGTATTATCTGAAGGGAAGCACCGAGATTGGCCAGGTTGCTTCGGTTATTTCAGAAGCGGACATGAGCAGACTTTAGCACTATAGGTTGGGGCACACAGGTGAAAAGTCACTGCAGGCATTATGCAAGCAGGGGCTATTGAAGGGAGCCAAGAATGGGAAGATTGAGTTCTGTGAGCACTGTGTTCTTGGCAAGAAGACGAAGGTGAAGTTCGGGACTACCATTTATCAGATGAGGGGCATCCTGGACTACATGCACACAGACGTTTGGGGTCCTACCAAGACTGCATCACTTGGTGGTCGATATTGGTTCGTCATGTTTGTTGATGACTATTCTAGGCATTGTTAGGTGTACACCATAAAGCATAAGAGTGAAGTCCTAGATATATTCGTGGAGTGGAAAAAGAGATTAGAACTGCAGACTGGGAGAAAGATCAAGACGTTGCAATCCGACAACGGTGGTGAGTATACTTCTGACCCCTTTCAGCAGCTATATCGAGATGAGGGCATAGAGAGACACTTCACAGTTAGTCATACACCACAGCAAAATAGGGTGGCAGAGAGGTTGAATCTTGTCTCCATTGGGGTCTTTACTGAGGCACTTACATATACGAGCCACCTCATTAACAGGCTGCCTTCATCTGCGATTGAGGGGAAGACCCCAATGGAGAAGTGGTCGGGAGAGCCAGTACGAGATTATGACCAGCTCAAGGTATTTAGGTGCCCTGCATTTTATCATGTGAGAACAGATAAATTAGAACCTCGAGCTAGGAAGACCATATTTGTAGGATTCAAGCGTGGTGTCAAGGGATACAAGCTTTGGGATCCAGTTGATAAGAAGATTGTGCTGAGTAGGGACGTCACGTTTGATGAGGCTTCTATCTTGAAGCTTTCCAGCTCTCATCAGGTGGAGAGCGACCCGACGGAGGAGATATCGTAGGTGGTGAAGATCGATGTAGCTCCACATTATCCAGATGGTACATTATCCATTAGAGTGCCGACTGAGGTGACGCCAGGCGAGCACGACGATGACACAGGGGATACGAGTACTGATGTGCAAGATCAGGGACCAGAGTACTAATGTGCAAGATCAGGGACTGACGACTCAGGTTCAGGATTCGATTGCGGTTCGGAGATAGACGAGAAACATACAGATGCCAGCATGGTATGTCGACACAGTTGCGTATGCACTTTTTGTGGAGAGTATCGATGAGTTGGTACCTACTATATTCAGAGAGGCCGAGCAGAGTTCAGAGGCTGATTCGTAGCAGGTGTCTATACAGGAGGAGATGAAATCTCTTCATAAGAACGATACATGGGAGTTTGTTGAGCTCCCAAAGAGGCGGAAGGTAATTGGTTACAAGTGGGTATACACGAAGAAGGAGGGCATTGAGGGCATTCCATTGAGGTTCAAAGCTAGGCTGGTTGCGAAGGGCTATGCACAGGAGGAAGGTATTGACTATAATGAGATTTTCTCTCCGGTGGTGAAGCATTCTTCGATTCGGATTTTGTTAGCCTTGGTGGCACAGTATGGTTTAGAGTTAGATCAGTTGGATGTGAAGACGACATTTCTTCATGGTGATCTTGATGAAAAAAATATATATGACTCGGCCATTGGGATTCCGAGCTGTAGGGAAAGATAAGTTGGTTTGCAGGTTGAAAAACTCGCTATATGGTTTGAAGCAGTCTCCTCGACAGTGGCATAGGCGATTTGATAGTTTTATGATTGTTCATTCGTACACTTGGAGCCAGTTTGATCCTTGCGTATATTTTCGCAAGTTAAAAGGAGGTGCGTACATCTATTTGTTACTTTATGTTGATGACATGTTGGTTACCTCTACTTCCAGGTCGGCTATAGATGAGTTGAAAGTTCAGCTTTCAAATGAGTTTGAGATGAAGGACTTAGGTGAGACCAAATGCATTTTGGGAATGGAGATCGGCAGAGACAAGAAGAAGGGCAGAATTTGTTTGACACAGGTGGCTTATTTGAAGAAGGTTCTATAACGATTCCATGTTAGCTTGGATACGAAGCCAGTTGGTGTACCTTTGGGAGCCTATTTGAAGCTTTCAGTTGGTCTTTCACCGAAGACAATTGAAGATCGAGAGTTGATGTCGAAGACTCCATATGCGAGTGCAGTTGGGAGCTTGATGTACGTGATGGTATGTACGAGGCCGGATTTGTCACAGGTAGTGAGCATGGTTTCAAGATACATGCATGATCCAGGAGTGGGTCATTGGGACGCCGTGAGAGGGATTTTGAGGTACATTCGAGGTACACTCAATGTTGGTTTGGTTTATGAATGAGACACTACAGGTGGGTAGCTATGCATTGGTTATGTTGATTCAGATTATGCTGGAGATTTGGATAAGCATTGGTCTATGAAGGGATATGTGTTCACTTTGACCCATGCACCGGTGTATTAGAGATGCATCTTACAGTTGACGGTGGCTTTGTCTACGACGGAGGCAGAGTATATGGCAGTTACGGAGGCTATGAAGGAGGCTATTTGGCTTTAAGGACTTTTGGAGGAACTTGATATACCGCAGAGGTCTGTCACTATTTCTTGTGATAGAATGAGTGATATCTATTTGGTGAAGAATCAGGTTTTTCATGCGCGGACGAAGCACATTGACGTTCGTTATCACTTCGTTCGGGATGCTCTTGAAGATGGCGATGTGGAAATTGTGAAAATCCACACGAAGGATAATCCGGCGGATATGCTCACTAAGGTGTTTCCGAGCAACAAGTTTGATCATTGTCGAAGCTTGTTGAATATTCGTGATTGTTGAGGACGTTGACGACCATTTGGGTGAACTACGTAAGGCTTGATTCCTTGGGCAAGAGGATACGTAGGCAGTCTTTATGATGCAGCCGATTTGTGAGTTGATACCGACATTTGGAGAGTGTTTGCATTCTCGTTTGGGTCTCAACTTGTGGGACATTTGGTTTGGTTGGTGTCGTCTCAGTTTTGATAAAACTTCATCGAGGTGGAGAATTGTGAGTGGGACCCAGCCATGTGCGTGAAACAATTCACACCCACAATTCACACGGTAGAGCTAAGTCCTGAGTCCAGCGGACAAAGAAAAAAAAAGAAAAAAGGATGCGGTTTCATTTTGTTTTCTGGACAATCACTGGCCCACCCGTTTGTTCTTTGCATATATATAGACCTAGTTAATTGACCTAGGTTGGCATGCAATTGAGGGGTGCAAGGTGGCTTGGCTGTGGGAAAAGTGCAAGGCAGTTTTGGTTTTTTGTGCGACTGCGGAACAAAAGCGAAAAGCAGAGGAAAAGTTCGTAGCGGCGGCTGCAGAAGAAAAACACAGAATTCAAGAGGAGTTTTTTGTGTGCAGGCTTTGTGCTTTTGTAGAGAGATATTGTGAGGGATCTGAGAGTTTGTTTGAGGGTTTAGGTTGTGAGTAATTGTAAACCCTAGTTATAATCTCTCCCTCTAATAGTAGATCTCCCCCCTCATTGCCCCGTGGACGTAGACAATTTGCCGAACCATGTAAAATTGGTTGTATCGTTTTTGTATGATTTGTAATAGCTTTTTAGGATCCCTCGACAGGTCAGTCCTAGAACTGATGAGAGGAAGAGTCGATATCTCACTTTGTTGAGTTATTCACTTCAGATTCTTGTTTCCTTGGTGAGACGAGAATTCTTATTGCAATCTGACTCTCTTGTTGTGCTGCCGAAGTGCTGCCGAAATTTCCGCTGCGCGCAACAAGTGGTATCAGAGCCCAGATTTCAGATCTAGGGTTTTTTGGTGGAGGAAGATTCTTGTGTGAAGCTTAGTTCTTGGAGTTCTCGGCTTCGGTGGAGATAGCATTAGGAGTTGCCGTTGGAGATTTCGCTTTCCTCGTGTGGATACTTGGGTGTTTTTGAAAAAAAACCATCGCGATTCTCATAAAGCACTGCCCAACGCTCTCTTCCCCAAAAACTCGTCTTCCCCAATTTCCTCTCCCTAATTTCCTCTCCATCTCTCTTAGATCTCTCAATCCCTCTTCCTCACCCTCTTGATCTCTCTCAGATCTCTCAATCCCTCTTCCTCATCCTCTCGATCTCTCTCAGATCTCTCAACCCTTCTCTTTTGCCGCTACAAGCTACTCCTTCACGAGATCCACTCCCCCGCCACCCGCCACGAGCTACTCCTCCACGAGATCCACTCCCCCCACCACCTGCCACGAGCTCCTCCTCCATGAGAAGATAGATCCAGTCCCTGGCCACGAATCCAATCCACGAGATCCAGTCCGCCACTCTAGGTCAGTTTCCATTCCCAACATCTGATTGAATTTGAATTTATGTGCTCGTACAATGGTCATGTGCAGCTCTTTCCATTCCCAACATCCCTAATGTGGCTAGGTATTCCATTTTGCTGATTAGTTACATGATTCCTACATTAATCCGATTTTTTTCTTCATTTAAGATGAGCTAACGTCAAGGTATTCCAATTTTCAGCTCTTTCCATTCTCAACATCCGATTTTTTTCTTCATTAATCTTTAATTTGGGGTAGAACTGAGCGGTCTTTATAGTGTTACTTAAGCAATACTGACTTGTTTGTTTCTTCTTGTCATCATTATCATCATGATCGTTGTCATCATCATCATTCTTATTACTTTTGTTTTTCTCTATTTATCATTGACTTTGATTACAGTGATCAAGTTTCCTTTTTTACTTTAGTTACTTTAAAAAAATTTTGGAGAAGCTGTGATGATTTGCCAACGGAAGTGTGTATTATGCTGCATTCTAGGAATGCGTTGGTTCTCTGGTTCAGGGTTCAGGTTCAGGGTTTGCGAGCTCTGTTTGTAAATTTTCTCCTTTTCCTGTTTCTGCAGTACTGTGATGGCGAGGTAATTGTTGGCAACTTCTATCATGTTGTTACCTTTGCAGCCATTTTCTTGATCTGCAGACCTGCAGAGGTGAAAGAGTTGGTTTGTTCCTAACAATTCTAATGATTGATATAAAGCAAATCTGAGCTTTCAGTGGTCTTCTCATGAATCTTTTTTCCAGGGTTAATTTTATAAATCCCCCTATGGGGTTTTTTGCAGCCATTTTCTTGATCTGCAGACCTGCAGAGGTGAAAGAGTTGGTTTGTTCCTAACAATTCCAATGATTGATATAAAGCAAATCTGAGCTTTTAGTGGTCTTCTCATGAATCTTTTTTCCAGGGTTAATTTTATAAATCCCCCTATAGGGTTTTTGGCAGCCATTTTCTTGATCTGCAGACCTGTAGAGGTGAAAGAGTTGGTTTGTTCCTAACAATTCTAATGATTGATATAAAGCAAATCTTTTTTTTCTTCAGGGGCATTTTTGACATTTTAATGCTGATGACTATAGTAGATTTACACTAGTTTTTTTTCCCAGTACAAAACTGAAGTATTTATTTGGGTAGAGAACAAATTGTCTTTTTTGCATTGATAATCTATTTTCAAGACACAAATTTCTAGGTGATATAATGGCAAGAAAGAGTTTTTATGTTGTAAAGAGAGGTCGACGTTGTGGCATTTTTAATAATTAGGAGGAATGCAAATCTCAAGTTGATAGATTCCCAAAAGCCTCCTACAAAGGGTATGCAACGTATGAAAAGGCTTTGAGTGAATGAGAGAAGCATTTAAGCGAGCGTGATTCAGCATCCAGCTCAAGCCATGTGCAGCCATATGTTTGTGTTCAAGAACAAATGTTTCGAGAGGGGCATAATCTTCTTGAGGACAAGGGGAAACATGGGGAAACTGCTATTTCCTCCATCTATGTTTTTCTATTAGGTTCAGTGTTTACAATTTTAATATTTCTAGTATGTATTGTTGCAGTGTTTGTTGGTTTCTATTGGGGGAAATATGTGATGTGATTCGTGTATGATTCTTCAATGTACCTTAGTTTTGTACTTAGTTTTGTACTGGGTTTGGCGCATGTTGTAACATTTACTGTGAGTTGGGTTAGCTTTACAAAGTTGCATTTCGTTGTAACAATGCCTGTGTTCATCTCATAAGTTAGCACCTTATTTGCTTTGCTTTTGTTTGTGTAACATTGCAAGTGCACATGTTTACCTTCAGCTTCATCAAAATCTTCAAATGATGACAATATAGCATTGGAACACAAAAATAGCATTGGAACACATATCAGAAGTTTACAATCAGATACAAGTTTCAAAGCTGGATTGTCATCAAAATCAGAGTTCACAATCAGCAGCTTCTACTAGTCTGCAATACTAAAGCCTGCAATACTAAAGCCAGCAATATTGGTACACATTTGCATTTCTACTAATCAGCAGCAACTACAATCAGCAGCTTCTACTACTCAGATACAGGTTCAAAATCAAAAATATTGGAACACATTTGCATCTTCAAATGATGACAATATAGCATTGGAACACATAGCATTGGAACACAAAAATAGAGTTCACAATCAGCAGCAATATTGGTCTGCAATACAAAAATAACACATAGCATTGGAACACAAAAATAGAGTTCACAATCAGCAGCAATATTGGTCTGCAATACAAAAATAAAGTTCACATTATGCATTGGAACACATTTGCTATCTTCAAATCAGAGTTCACAATCAGCAGCTTCTACTAGTCTGCAATACTAAAGCAAGCAATATTGGTACACATTTGCATTTCTACTAATCAGCAGCAACTACAATCAGCAGCTTTGAACAATCAGCAGCTTCTACAATCCAGCTTTGAACAATCCATCTTTGAACAATCAGCAGCTTCTACAAGATTCTTCTTCTTCTTCTTCACAACTTGGGTTAGCTGCAAATTTCATGACATATCTAAATCAAATGAGACAATACATTGATAAGGTTAATTGTATTGTATTACTAAAACCATAAGTGCAGCTATACGTGAGGTCATTTAGTCAAATGTGCATGATATAGATTTACGTGGACTGTAGGAATTGTAACAACCCTATTCTCATTAATCTTAAATATTCTGATGTATGATATGGAAAAAAGCTAAACATATAAGAAATTCACCAATGAGCTACATATGAAAAAAAATTAATTATACCTTGGCAAGTTGACTTTACAGCTAGTTCTATAATGCCCGAGTTCACCACATCTGCTACATATACGCTTTTTTCTCTCTTTCTTTTCTTGTGCTTGTTCTAAGCCTGACTGAATTCTAGTAGCATTGCGTGGACGACATTTAGTCCTTGCAGATCTATCAAGATCACGAACTGTAATCTGAGGAATGTGCTCCATTGTATGTGAAATGGGTACGAAAATCTGAGGATTATCTTCTGTTTCTGTTTCTCTAACTTCTTCTTCAAGTGATTCTATGAATTTTGTTAACACATTATCTAATTTCTGCATCCTCTCTTCTGAATCAAATGCAAGCTCGAGCGCATTATTGAATTTTGCTCTTAAAGCCCAAGATTTCAACAAATTAATCTTCTCTTCACAGCTTGTGAGGTTTCTTCCAAATACAATATTGCCAACCCCAATGTTACGATGTCGAGCATGTATAGTCCAACGGTGTAGGATGTAATGATCGGGTAATGAAGAAATTTGTCTAGCCATCATTAGTGATAATATATGTCTACATACAACATCCATTAGTTTCAAACAAAGCACAAGTACAATGAAATTGCATCTGTACATGGATTGTTCATAGCTACACCTCCCCTTTTCCTCTATCGTGCAAACTTAGCATAACTTTGTTGATTCAACAATGTCACGCCTATATTTTCTTAATTCTTCACAAAAACTGCTGTACCAAATCCTTTGAATTCAAGTTGGAAACATCAACCAATGTTGCGTGTATACATTCTTCCTGCAGCTTCGCCTCACTCAATCCGACTGTCCCAAGAGCATGATAGGACTATTGTGTTAAGACTCTTAAAATCTCATGTGCTTCACTAAGCGCGAGAGTTAATGCTTTTTTCATATTGTTAGAACAAAGCTCGTGTAATTGGAGATCTGTGATAACATACCCATCAAAAAATGCCATTATATACTTTCACTTCTTTGGCTCGATCGGGGTCCATTCCAGGCAAAAAAGTGTCTTCAAATATACATGACACCTAATGTTCTCGATATTTGTAAACAGTTTGCAGGGCCTCCGCATACGCGCCTTCTCATTTTATATCAAACTTCTCCTTCATGCTCTAACGCAATATCGGATGTCACCGAGGCTGTTCAATTGAAGAACTTATTGACACATAAGCCGGCAGTACCCTTGAAACTGTGTCACATGACCGAGAAACAAGTAGCGCAAATGCATCAGTAATGCTGGCTTTTGGCATGTGCCAACAAGCAAATAACTGATGTCTCTGTCAATTGGAAACACAGAGTCGAATAGCATTGAGCATATGGCTCTATCGCTGATCTGTTATAATTAGCATCTGGTTGCAACCCATGCTGCCATTTCAGGCCATGTCGGTCGAAATAACGCAGCACCAAAGGTATGCGGTTCTTGTTCATGCCTTCCAGCTAATAATGCACAACACAGTAATGGTGGAGCTCTCTATGACTGAATTCACATCGTAAATGGGAGGCAAATGGAAGACTGAAGATTATTAGTTCTGTATGTCACATCAAACAGCACGAACATCACTGAATTGCAAGTAAGACGCCCTTGATCTCCCCGTCAGCCGCAGAAAAAACACTCCTCATTGTGTCACTAGCTCGTCCAGCTTCTATTGCGCTGAAAACATAGAATTGCTGGATGCATTCGGCTGTCATACTCTGGAATGTCGAATGATAGACATGCATTCATGCCCAAGTATTGTTGACTTTCTGGTAATCCTGTGTGATCAATTACACTGTTATTGTGTTTTCCATCAAGTTGTTTCGCTGTGGTTTAATTCATTATATCTTCAGCGATTACAATAAATTCAAAAGAGATAGTCTTTTAATAAGAGCTTTCTTTTACAGCAACAAAATAAAAAAATTACAGCACTTTTTAGAAACAAACGGCAGGATCCGTTGTTTGGGATGCGCTGGCTTGCGTGGGATCTTGTGCCTGTGCCCGGGAGCGCTTGACTCGTGACCACCGAATCACAGATTTCTGATTACAACCGTGAGGGGTTTAATGATTCTTGCCTTCGTTTAGTCGAAGTAAGAAATTTAAAGCGAATATCGTTATCGATTGTAAGATGTTTCAGTCTCCTAAAGATCAAGTCAGAGCTAATCTCTAGGAATCGGCCAGATAACTTTCTTGAGGATGTTTTGTGAAGAAAGGCAAGACTCTCTTCTTGATCTAATTTACCGAAAATCTGGCGTCAAGGCTCTCCAGTGCTATAGATCTGCTCTGAAAAATGCTTCAGCCTCCTGTCAATGATGGGCCATAGGGGGGTATGTTATAGCTTCCTGTAGACATGACTTGGAAGAAATAGTCCGATCACTAACAGGCTTCTTTAGGCGCGGCGGCACAACGTTGATGCTGTCGGGCGGCTAAGAGGGGCGCGGACACAGTCGACACTGTCGCGGCAAAGAGCGCGGCAGTGGACACTGCGCGGCTAAAGGGCGCGGCAGTCGACACAGCGCGGCTAAAGTGGACAAGTTAGCCCCACGTTCATCACGTGTTTGAAACAGTTCTCCGACGCCACACCTTTAACCACCTTTTTCGTGTTTAAACATGCTTTGCCGACGTCTAGCACACGTTCTGAAGTTTCTGATCACGCGCCCGGCCACGTGGACTTTAAATAATGCAATCAGAATAACTGCACTTATAATGCTGTAGGCACGCCCTTTAGTAATGGCCGCGCACTTTAGGCTTGTCGTGCCTTAGCCGCGGCACGATATGCTGCCGCGCCTTAGCCGCGGCACCCACTACATTGCTGGCCGCGCCATGCCGCAGGCGCGCCCATGAGCTGCCGCGCGGCGTGAGCCGCGACAATGAACCCAAAGCGTTGTTTGTTTGGTGTGGTACTATTTTCCATGTGTCTTGAGTGGTGTTTGGCACGTCTGTAAGCATTTTTTTTACGCCTACAGATACCCGGCCTCCAAAGTAATCGTCAGACTCATCCATTATATAGAGAGGGGTCTGAGACACTTGATATGATCAACGTCTCCCGCTGGCAATTCCTGCTAGTGCTTTGTTGAGGAAATTGCGTAGAATGGGTCTGTTGAAATGACTCAATCCTTGACGTGTTTTTATCTTTCTAGCTTATTCAGTGCTTTGTAGAATAGCTAAAATTCCTGCCGTGGCTGCGTCCTAATCGGGCTTGGCGCGTCGTCGAAACGTCTTATCAGAACTGTTGTTGAAGGAATGGAGAAATAGTTTATACTCATATGGCTCTATTGGAGTGGGTTCGGGGAAATAGTTAACCTCATATAGCCCGTGTGGGAGTGACCAGGTATATTTCTTAAGAATATTTTGAGTAGTAATTTCTCGCAGAAACCCTCCTGTTGATGTAGGGAACAGTGTTAGACCTCGTGTCCGCATGTGAGAGTAGATATGATGCTTCTATTTTTTGTTGGTAGACGGGTGAACCCGATGATGAAGAGGGTAAGAATTTATATTCTATCTCCTGGTCTCGTTGTTTGTTGGTGAGAATAAACGCCGATGATGGACGAGGCAAGGAATTTTATATTCTATTCCTGGTCCTCCTGTTTGTTGGTAGACGATTGAACCCGCGGAATTGGAGAGGGAACAATTTTAATAAGGGTTGTTTGTTGGTAGAGATGAACCCGATGTTGGAGAGGACGAATTTATATCTATCGTCCTGGTGGCAAAGAAACGTCGAAAGTGGTATCCTCGCACTTAGAATCTGGATGTGGTTTGAAAAATATCGTAAATGTCGACAGAGGGTTTATTGATTCATTAAACTAAAAGTGGACCTCTCGTTCATGAAGGAATCGAGAAGGGCGGATTTTTGGTTTGTGGGGTTTGACCAAGTGGGAGTTTGAGGGTGATTCTGACTGTTAAAGGTTTGAATGCATGTCGAGTTTGTGACCGCGTGCGACTCGTTCAGTGAAGGACATCGAGAGGGGATTTGGGCTTGTCCTAACTGTTTAAAGGTTTGACGCAATGAGAGAATTTTATGAGGAAAAGATGGGAATCCAACGAAGTTGATCGAATCTCACCTCAGGCAAAGAGTATATCGTCAAATCACGCGTGGGGATGTCAGTGTTTATTCACTTTGTTTGTAATGATCGGTTAATCCTATAGAAAATTAAGCACATATAGCCATTCTTCGAGGAACATTAGCGCGCGTACATGAACTATCCACACCCCAACTTCGGCTTTACAAAGACTGGGTGGTAACAGGAAGTACGTTATCCCTCAAGGTCCGCGATGTTCGGGTTATAACTTCAAAGAATATAAGATTCTCGCGCAGGAACTTCCGTTATATAAATGCATCCACCCCCAGCTTTCTTTGGCGAAACGCGGTTTAACATTGTGAGCTATACTTGGATGACGGAGAAGCATTTGTATACTGTCATATACTCTTTGGAGTGAGGGGAAACGAAGGGTTATAGCTCGTGAGCACCAAGGGCTGCGGTGCCGCCACTGGAGTGTGGATGGTCGTTCTTTACTCGACTTCTTCGTCGTTATTAGCCCGGAGTCCGATTTAGGGCTTGGATCTTGTTTTTGAGTCTAAAGCAAATCTCGGTGGGATGAAGCAACCCCTTCTGTGGTACGGCACAGTAATTGGAACAGTAATCCTCTTCAGCTCCAATCCCTGATCTTTAATAGGTGGTAGCTCGTTTTATGCATTAAGCGAGGAGCGGTATTTGCTAATATGGATGGAGGCTTCATCATCTTCGAAAGAATATTCCTTTTGAAACCGTCGGAATCGAGAGTCGCATTCTCAACGATTTGCAGATGTCCATTGGTTGGCCTCTCTCGCTTTCTTTCTTTTCAAGGAAGTGGTCTAGCGGCTTGTTTTCACGCCGCGAGATTTTAACTCCTTCCAAGTTTGTGGATGGCACGACCCCCAGAGCTTCCAGGGACATCGATGGAGAGGTTATGTGTGGGCAATGTTTGCAGGATTGAACAATATCTGTAATAGGATGCTCTGCAATTCATTGCTTTTGGCCACCCGAAGCGCTGACAAAATCGAAAAATCGTGGGACTTTGACGTCATCGGCGCTTCTATATTGTCCAAGTTGAGCGATTCCCAAAAGTGCGTGTTCCGGGATTGACCATATGCACATGGAATAGTCTGTGTGTCATCGATCGGAAGTAAATTGCTGAGGAACAAACTTTCCATGTCATCCATGGCTGTGTCCGCTGGCTTGAGCCGTCGGTACCAATCGAAGGCAGGTCCGTGAAGTGTGCCAAACGAAATGACGCGACATTAAGCCTCATTTCCAGAGATCAATGCCAAATGGTTGTTCAATCTGAATGGCGCGAACTCTTCATCAACGGTGTGAAGTTAATCAGATTGAATTTGGCTGGGTATGGTATTGAATCGCCATTCTCTTGAAATGGGAGCACGGAATACGGGCCGTCCTCTGCCACTTCTTGGGCCGTCATAAAGCGTTGACTTTGTTTTTGCAAAGGCTGCTTCATTTTTTCGTCCTCAATCTATATCTTCATTATGCGCAGGACGTTGGAGAGAATGAGTTACGACGCTACCCTGTGAGAGGTGGTATTGAACGCTCCCTAAATATTGTTAATTGGGAGGATGTGCTAACCCCAGCGTTATTGCTATTGGGAGGTGTATCAGCCATAATGACTTCATCACTTCTGGATCATGTCATCCACAACTTCTGAGTGTGGTAGGCTGGATTCAGTTCTTTGAACTGGACTCAGGGGGTTGAGACGGCGCTGAGCTAGCAATTCTCTCATTCATGATGTGGCATGCTAACTCCATTTCTGTCTTCCACTTCAAGCTCTAATTTCTCAGCGTTGTTTGGCTAGAGCCTCAGTTGAAAGTATTTGTAGGATCTGAAATAGATACAGTTGAACACTAGAGGGGGGGTGAATAGTGTTCTTTTTAAATTATTGCAAAGAGCCATAATGAAATCTGCAAAAGCAAAAAATGGAATCTCAGACATGTTCAAACACAAACACAAGGCATTTTATACTGGTCTCCAGCAAAGCTGGTGTACATCCCAGTCCCGCAAGCTTGTTAGATCTTCCTCCCAACTCGATCGCCAGCAGCACCGCCACGAGAACTCGATCACCACCAACAAGAGAAGCCTCGCTCGAGATCGACGTCCCCTCTCAGATCTTCCTCCCAACTCGATCGCCAGCAGCACCGCCACGAGAACTCGATCGCCACCAACAAGAGAAGCCTCGCTCGAGATCGACGTCCCCTCTCAGATCTTCCTCCCAACTCGATCGCCAGCAGCACTGCCACGAGATCGACGTCCGGCGCTCGTGACCCCACACCGAGCAGCGCACAGAGCCTTCTCCGTCGCTCGTGACCCCAGACCGAGCGAAACGAAACACCGCCTCCTCCATTTCCCTCTCAGAGGTATTATCCCGCCTCCCCCATTTCCCTCTCCAAAATCCTAGCTCTCTTCTTCCTAAATCCACAAATTTTGGGTCAAATCTTAGTCCTAAGATGGTGAATGGCTAGGATTTTTGCTATAACTTCAGTTTGGAAGATGATTTGAATGTGGAAGAGTTCGTTTTGGGTGAAATTGATTTTAGGGCTTCTGTTCGTTCGGTGATCGTGGAAGTGTTCGTTTTGGGTGAAATTGATTTTAGGGATTCTGTTCGTTTGGTGCTATAACTTCAGTTTGGCATCGTACTCAAATTGGTCCCTCCACTTTATTCTTTCTCAACGTAGTCCTCGTACCCTTTGTTTGTAAATTTAGCCCTATCATAACACTCTCGGTTAAAAACTCTGTTAAACAGAAACTGAAGCACAATACTACCCCCGTTCGATTCGATGCATTTACTAAAGGAATAATACGAGAACATATCAAAGAATTCAAATGTCTCTAGCTGCTAAAGAACTGATTTCTTGCTCCATCATTGAGACTTCGGATGGTCTTTGAGATTGGTTTTTTACGGGTGCCTATTGCAGCCTTTTGAATCATTTTGCAGGTGTAGCTCATTCTCTGGAGCTCTACGAGATATTTGAAATTTTTTTGCTGAATTTATGTAATGCACCGTGTTCTTCTTTGTTAAGTGATGAGTGCTTGTTTTACAGCGAAACTCCGTAATTGGTTTTTACCTTTGCTAATAAGTTGATCAGATCATTGTTGGCCTAGATAGCTCGACAAATGCGTGCATTATGGTGACTGATTTACTAGACACTTACATGATGCAGAGCATATTTATTAGTTTGTGATCTCCTCCTATCTAAATTATCAAAATGCCAAAAAAAAAACTTGATCATTGTTTGTGCAAGGATTCCTACTGTAATGCTTTATGTTAAGCTCTGAGGAGTCATTGCATTGTGTATTATATATAGATGTTTGGGATTAGACAAACAAAAGGAATATGTTACTTTGGATTAATGATTCGAATGAGAGGTGAGTACATAGAAGGGAAAATGATTAAATACATCCTATGACTCCTATCTTCTTTCAAAATCTCCTGCAATCTATTTCTTAACATTGTAAAAAACTTATCAACATTTCGCTCGCGCAAACACCCGTCATACATATGCTTCATTCTCAAGATTTTCAGAGTATGACAGAGTGTCAATTTATGTGTCAATTGCAGTGAATACATTCATTTGTTTTCTTATCGACATTCCTTTGTTTTCTTATCTGGCCTTGGTATATAAATTTCAGATAATGCTACACTATACATAGAACTGCATCTTGAACATTTGCTTGTCTTTTTTCCATTGATAATCTATTTTCAAGGCACAAATTTGCAGGTGATATAATGGCAAGAAAGAGTTTTTATGTTGTAAAGAGAGGTCGACGTTGTGGTATTTTTTATAATTGGGAGGAATGCTTTTCTCAAGTTGATAGATTCCCAAATGCCTCCTACAAAGGGTATGCAACGTATGAAGAGGCTTTGAGTGAATGGGAGAAGCACTTAAGCGCGCGTGATTCATCATCCAGCTCAAGCCATGTGCAGCCACATGTTTGTGTTCAAGAACAAATGATTCCAGAGGGGCATAATTTTCTTGAGGACAAGGGAACACCTAGGGAAACTGCTATTAAGTACATCTTTGCTTTTGTATTAGGTTCAGTGTTTACAATTTTAATATTTCTAGTATGTATTGTTGCAGTGTTTGTTGGTTTCTATTGGGGGAAATATGTGATGTGATTCGTGTATGATTCTTCAATGTACCTTAGTTTTGTACTTAGTTTTGTACTGGGTTTGGCGCATGTTGTAACATTTACTGTGAGTTGGGTTAGCTTTACAAAGTTGCATTTCGTTGTAACAATGCCTGTGTTCATCTCATAAGTTAGCACCTTATTTGCTTTGCTTTTGTTTGTGTAACATTGCAAGTGCACATGTTTACCTTCAGCTTCATCAAAATCTTCAAATGATGACAATATAGCATTGGAACACAAAAATAGCATTGGAACACATATCAGAAGTTTACAATCAGATACAAGTTTCAAAGCTGGATTGTCATCAAAATCAGAGTTCACAATCAGCAGCTTCTACTAGTCTGCAATACTAAAGCAAGCAATATTGGTACACATTTGCATTTCTACTAATCAGCAGCAACTACAATCAGCAGCTTTGAACAATCAGCAGCTTCTACAATCCAGCTTTGAACAATCCATCTTTGAACAATCAGCAGCTTCTACAAGATTCTTCTTCTTCTTCTTCACAACTTGGGTTAGCTGCAAATTTCATGACATATCTATATCAAATGAGACAATACATTGATAAGGTTAATTGTATTGTATTACTAAAACCATAAGTGCAGCTATACGTGAGGTCATTTAGTCAAATGTGCATGATATAGATTTACGTGGACTGTAGGAATTGTAACAACCCTATTCTCATTAATCTTAAATATTCTGATGTATGATATGGAAAAAAGCTAAACATATAAGAAATTCACCAATGAGCTACATATGAAAAAAAATTAATTATACCTTGGCAAGTTGACTTTACAGCTAGTTCTATAATGCCCGAGTTCACCACATCTGCTACATATACGCTTTTTTCTCTCTTTCTTTTCTTGTGCTTGTTCTAAGCCTGACTGAATTCTAGTAGCATTGCGTGGACGACATTTAGTCCTTGCAGATCTATCAAGATCACGAACTGTAATCTGAGGAATGTGCTCCATTGTATGTGAAATGGGTACGAAAATCTGAGGATTATCTTCTGTTTCTGTTTCTCTAACTTCTTCTTCAAGTGATTCTATGAATTTTGTTAACACATTATCTAATTTCTACATCCTCTCTTCTGAATCAAATGCAAGCTCGAGCGTATCATTGAATTTTGCTCTTAAAGCCCAAGATTTCAACAAATTAATCTTTTCTTCACAGCTTGTGAGGTTTCTTCCAAATACAATATTGCCAACCCCAATGTTACGATGTCGAGCATGTATAGTCCAACGGTGTAGGATGTAATGGTCGGGTAATGAAGAAATTTGACTAGCCATCATTAGCGACAATATATGTCTACATACAACACCATTAGTTTCAAACAAAGCACAAGTACAAATGAATTGCATCTTACTGGATTGTTCATAAGTAACCACCTCCCATTTTCCTCTATCTGCAAACTTACAAATCTTGTATTCAACAATGTCCCCATATTTTCTTAATTCTTCACAAAACTCTGTACCAAATCCTTTGAATTCAGTTTGGAACACATCAAACATGTTGCGTGTATACATTTCTCCAGCTTGTACCTCAATCGGATGTCCAAGGAGCATGATAGGCTTTGTGTTAAGACTCTTAAAATCTTCATGTGCTTCACTTAAGCGACGATGAGTTAATGCTTTTTCATATTGTAGAACAAACTCGTGTAATTGAGATTGTGAGTTAACATACCCATCAAAAAATGCATTAATACTTTCACTTCTTTGGCTCGATCTCATTCCAGCAAAAAAAGTGTCCTTCAAATAACATGACACCTAATGTTCTCGATATTTGTAAACAGTTTGCAGCCATCCATCCCCTTCTTCATTTATATCAAACTTCTCCTTCATCTCTAACCAATATCCTTCACACTGTTCAATTGAAGAACTATTACACCATAAGCCCCAGTACCTTTGAAACTGTTCACCATAACGAGAAACCAAAGTAGGCAAATGATCAGTAATGTGCTTTTGCATGTGCCAAAAGCAATAATGATGTCTTGTCATTGGAAACACAGAGTGAATAGCATTACATATGGCTCTATCCTGATCTGTTATAATAGCATCTGGTTCAACCCCATGCATGCATTTCAGCCATTCTTGAAATAACCACACAAAGGTATCTTCTTGTTCATCAGCTAATAATGCACAACCAAGTAATGTGGACTCTCTATGATGATTCACATCAGTAAATGGAGCAAATGGAAGACTGAACTTATTAGTTCTGTATGTCACATCAAACACCACAACATCACTGAATTGCAAGTAAGACGCCCTTGATCTTCCGTCAGCCCAGAAAACACTCCTCATTTGTCCACTACTGTCCACTTCTATTGCAAAATAGAATTCTGGATCATTCGCTGTCATACTCTGAAAATGTCGAATGATAGACATGCATTCATGGCCAATATTGTTGACTTTCTGGTATCTGATGTGATCAATACACTGTTATGTGTTTTCATCAAAAGTTGGTTTCGCTGTGGAATTCATTATATCTTCAGTCGATTACAATAAATTCAAAAGAGATAGTCTTTTTATAAGACTTCTTTTACACAACAAAATAAAAATTACAACTTTTTAGAAACAAACGCAGGATCGTTGTTTGGATCGCTGCTTGCGTGGGATCTTTGCCTGTGCCGGGAGCGCTTTGACTCGTGGACCACCAAATCACAGATTCTGATTAAACCGTGAGGGGTTTAATGATTCTTCCTTCGTTTATCGAAGTAAGAATTTAAAGCGAATATCTTATCGATGTAAGATGTTCACTCTTCTAAAGATCAAGTCAGAGCTTAGATCTCTAGGAATCGCCAGAAACTTCTTGAGGATGTTTGTGAAGAAGGAAGACTCTCTTTCTTGATCTAATTTACCAAAACTCAAGGCTCTCTGCTATAATCTGCTCTGAAAAATGCTCAGCCCCTGTCAATGATGGCCATAGGGGGGTATTTATAGCTTCCTTAGACAATAACTGAAGAAATAGCCGATCAACAACAGCTTCTTTAGGCGCGGCAGTTGATGCTGTCGCGGCTAAAGGGCGCGACAGTCGACACTGTCGCGGCCAAAGAGCGCGGCAGTCGACACTGCCGCGGCTAAAGGGCGCGGCAGTCGACACTGCCGCGGCTAAAGGGACAGTTACACCCACGTTCATACGTGTTTGAAACAGTTCTCCCACGACCTTTAACCACCTTTTTCGTGGTTTAACTGCTTTTCCACGTCAGCACACGTTCTATTTCTGATACGCCGCCACATAGACTTCACATAATCATCACATAACTGCCTCGTAACCGCTGTAGCATCCCCTATAGTAGCCGCGGCACCATGGATTGCCGCGCCCAAGCCGCGGCACTATGAACTGCCGCGTCTTAGCCGCGGCACTATGAGCTGCCGCGCTGTAGCCGCGGCACCATGAGCTGCCGCGCCCACACGCTGTAGTTTGCATTGTTCTGTGAATTCACATTGTTTTATGTTGATTCACAGATCCTTTTGCTTCCTTTGGGCTTGTATGATCTCCCATGACTTAGATACTGATGTTTATCACCTTCTCTTTGTCTTGAGTGACATTTGGATGTCTGTAAGCATTTTTGACGTCTACAATGGGGAGGATGAGTATAAACACGATTATGAGAAGTAGCACCAGAAAGAAAGCTAGATGGAGTGATATTAATAGCATGAGTAGCAGTGAGAATGGTCTCAACCCAGAAATGATGAGGAACAGAGTAAGAAATGAGCATGAATCGAGTGGTATCAAGAATATGACGATGTTTGCATTCAGCAATACCATTTTTCTCATGAGTGTAGGGACACGACTGTTGAAAGATAGTCCCATAAGAGGAGATGATAGAGCACATGGTAGAGGATATATATTCTTTGGCACAGTCAGAATGAAAAACTTTAATACATACTTACCATTGAGTGAAGATTATCGCAGTGAAGGTTTGATAAGCAGCAAGCACGTTAGAATGATTTTTGAGTAGGTAGACACATGTATAACGAGAAAAAACATCGATAAAACTAACATAATATAAGTAGCCAGATGAAGAAGTCAGAGGAGCTGGCCCCAGATATCAGAATGGATCAAATCAAATAAGAAAGTAGAAACAGATGTACTGGTTGGAAACGGTAGAGCAATGAATTTAGCCAATTTACAACCAGTACACGACTCAATATGAGAACAAGAGGATACGAGACCAAGTACTCCGGATTGGATAAGACTTTTTAGCCTTTGATGATACATATGACCAAGTCGTCTATGCCACAAATCTGCGGAAAGCAAGATAGAGGATAAAGATTAATCCAACGAAGTGATCGAATCTCACCTCAGCAAAAGAGTATTCGTAAATCACCGTGGGGATGTAGTGTTTATCACTTTGTTTGTAATGATCGGGTTATCCCTAAGAAAATTACATATAGCATTCTTTCGAGAACTTCCCGTTACATGAACTATCCACCCCCAACTTCCTTTACAAAACTGGGTGTAACTAGGAGTACGTTATCCTCAGTCGCATGTTCGGGTTATCCTTAAGAATATAAGATTCTCCAGGAACTTCCCGTTATATAAATCATCCACCCCCAGCTTTCTTTGCGAAACCGGGTTTAACATTGTACTTACTTGGATGACCGAGAAGCATTTTATACTCATATACTCTTTGGAGTGAGGGGAAACAGTTTATACTCGTGCACCCACTGGAGTTGGATGGTCGTCTTTACTCGACTTCTTTCGTCGTTATGACGCCGGAGTCAATTAGGGCTTGGATCTTGTTTTTGAGTCCAAAGCAAATCTCGGTGGGATGAAGAACCCTTCTGTGGTACGCACAGTAATTTGGAACAGTAATCCTCTTAGCTCCATCCTGATCTTTAATAGGTGGTAGCTCGATTTTATCATTAGCGAGGAGGTATTCTAATATGGCTGGAGCTTCATCATCTTCGAAAGAATATTCCTTTTGAAACCTCGGATCGAGAGTCGCATTCTCAACGATTGCAGATGTCATTGGTTGGCCTCTCT